ATTTCACTGCTTTAATATGGACATATACCACTTAGCACAACGGTTTAGTGATATATTCTTCTTTGTTTAGAAGTGAGAGGTCTTAGATTCAATTCTCAGTAAAGATGAATTTGAATCACATTATGGCTAGCCTATTGTGAGGCTAAACCCACACCCCTTCTTTTTAATGTAAATAATATTGTTTGTTAAAAAAAATATGAATATAGTCCACTATAGTACGCTACCCCCTTCTCTAATGGCAATAACGTAGCCACCTTTTTCAAGATAAATTACACCACTGCCTTTATTTCAAAGGAAAATGAAGGGAGACAAATCCTTAAAAAATGGGCACCCACTTAACTGTCCTTCCCATCAACTTAGGGCCTGTTTGGGAGTGAGGTGATTAAAAAAAAAGCTACTATGAAAAAAAGCTATGAAAATTTTTGGTATTTGGTAAACTTTGAAAAACAGCTTTGTTTCAAAGTTGAGGGTGAAAAAAAGCCCAAAACCAACAGATGACAAGAAGCTGCAATTTGCAGCTTCCAAAAGCAGCTTATTTTCACCCACACACGGGTGAACAGTGTACTGAAATATGAATAACCCAAGCGTCGTCGTCGTCCTCTGCGACTGCGCGCCCCGGCGTCATGGCTCCGCGGGGCTCGGCCGCCGCGACGGCTGGAATGCGTCGCCGTCGTGTCGGAGGCTCCACCGGTTCCGGAAGCATCGACGGAGGAGGAGGCGGATCAGAGAGAGGCTCGAACACCAAGTCCTTCCTCGCCACAGCTCCTCTGTTCGCGCCACAGCAGATTCCAGCTCCGCCTTCCACAAAAGCTCTTATCCTAATCTTCGGACCTTCCGCCGCGAACCCCAGGACCTCCTTCTCGACGATCAAGCTCCATTGACTTCTCTCCGACCACCGGAGCACTCCGTCGGAGAATAGAGCCACGGGTGTGACGACGCCGCTTATGAGGACCCGGTCGGAGAGTAGGGGTTGCGGGGGAGCAGACTCGGGTCCGGGTCGGTCCATGTTTGGATAGTGGTTCACGTCTTCCGGAGTGGTTGAGGGGTTCTGGTTTGGGGGCCTGAAAAGTCTGAAGTGGATTTTTATGTGCTGGTTGGCGGAGAAGTGGATTTTTATGTGCTGTTTGGGGGCCTGATAGTATATAAATATTTTTCTTCTAAAAATAAAATATATTTAGTAATTCACTTTTATTTGTTAAGAAAATTAAATTAATAGCATATCTAGTAATATACCCTTTTTGGTCATTTCACACAGTCACAGCTGTTTTACAAAAAAGTTTACCAAACACTATGATACTGCTTTTTTTTTCCAAAAGCACTTTTACAAAAAAGTTTACCAAACACTTTACTGGTTTTATTTCACAGCCGCTTATTCTCACAGCACAGCCACTTATTATCACAGCAGCTTTTTTTCAAAGCACAGCAATACCAAACCAAGCCTTAATCATAGGGTTCAAAATTTAAAAGTACTTTAAATTGGAATAAAGCTATTACTTAAGCATGTAGAAGCTTAAACAATCTTCAGAGTCTGAATGAGCCGCAAAGGTTATGTTTGTCCTTGGCAAAGTATGAGACTTTGCCAGCTACGTTATTTTGTTGGGATTTTGTGGATTATGGTTATGTGCCAATTTGGGTTTGTTCAACTGTCAAGGTGGACGACAAGTTGATGTAACTTATGTGCTTGGGGTTCTTACGTCCCCGGAGTTGAGGTTTTTCTTCGTTAACGACCTGGAGTTGAGGTTATTTATAGTGGTGGAGCTAGAAATAGAAGTTAGGAGGGGTCTTTAAGCCGTATGAAAGAAATTGAATAAAAAATAATATAACTAGGGAGAAAAAGGTTCATTTTTGGTAGTGGAATGAAAAATTTTAATCAAAAGAGAGTAATGGAGTCACAAAAAAAAAAAAAAAAAAAAAAAAGAGAAAAAAAAGAAAAAGAAAAAAGATTGAGATAATTATATCATAAGCACCAAATTTCTTTATAAGTTCTTACATTGAAGTTGAACAAAAAATAATAATCATGACTCAGAATTGCAGCTATGAAAATTGTTTTTCAAGATAAATTCTTTCTCGATCTGTTCCATAAATGCATGGTTTCACTGTAAAACAAATCATGCAAAATGGTGAACTAACTAAGGAAGGCTAGTTTGTATACAACTTTACCTTCATAACAATGCTACTATAAAACACACTTTTTGGTCAATTAAAGAAATATAATAAAGCTAGTTGAGAGGAAAAACACATAAGTTGAAGAATGCAGAGTATCTAACCAAAAGCACACAAATAGAAGGTACAAAGTAAAGAAACTTCAGGATAGGCCTGGTGGGCCTTTCCTAGCCACTTGAGGTTATTTATCGGTTAGACCTGGTTTGGTACTGAGGTGATTCTGAAAAAAGCTGCTATCAAAAAAAGCTGGGAGCTGTTTTTGTGTTTGGTAAACACTCAGCTTTAGCTTTTTTTCACAGTTTTGGGTGAAAAAAAGCCAAAAACAAGAAGCTGCAAAACCCAGCTTTGAAAAACCGGCTTTTTTTCACATCTGTTTTACATAAAAGTTTACCAAACACACTAATACTGCTTTTTTTTTTTCAAAAGCACTTTTACAAAAAAGTTTACCAAACACTCTGCTGCTTTATTTCACAGCTGCTTATTCTCACAGCACAGCAGAAGCAGCTTTTTTTCAAAGCACAACAATACCAAACCAGCCCTTAATCTACTCGGTTATTTATCTAGAGTTAAAGGTTGTTTCCGTCATCTCATGTACCTCTCTTTCTTGGTGTCACGAATGAACTTTTTTCGTTATAGTTCCACTGATTATGTATGGTCGTTAAGAGGTGTGTGTTAGGTTTGAGTAAGAGTAAGTGTATTGTTTTATACGAAAACTAATGAAAAATGACTTGAAAATTTTGAGTTTTAACGAAAATAACAAAATAAAGGGTAAAATGAATAGTATCAGGATTGACATTTTAGTGTAAAAATGTAATTTTTCGTTAAAGTGAACAGTAAACAGTACCGGTAATTTTTTTTGTTAAATTTCCCTTGTTTTATTCCGGTGCAAGTGGCGTTTGATTACACGTATGTAGGTTTCTACCACCTTAGAGACTGTGGTTATATACCTGCTTTTGAGGTACTACGAAGTTCACTTCTCTGCAATAATGTGGAACGGAAGGTTCTAGGAAGAAGACGAACTATACATAGCAGTATTTTATAGGAGGGTTATGAGATGATAATATTGAATATTGTTAGGGATTAGCTTAATGACAATCTAAACCAATCTTATAATAAAGGGATTAGCTTAATGACAGTTTGAAATAATGAATTACAATAAGTTTTCAAAATAAGTAATTTTGGATAATATTATTATATATTTTATTCATCCCGATAAATTTGGTATGAAAAAAACAAATTTGAAATTGAACCAATGTTTAAAATATGGGTATCAGCGAAAAACCATATGCAAATTCGTGAAAATATCGACGGATGTATCTAATATCAATAAAATTTAGGGATTACCAAACATTGGTTCATATCTTTTTTTGATTTTTCGTATTGAAAAACTTTTAAACGATGAGTGGAACCAATCGTTAGATTTATTTCCATAATACATATAAAGCCAACTGCTATTAGCACTAAAAAAAAAAAAAATCATATTTTGCACTCCTTACGACTGTATTTTTTCTTTCTAAATATTAAAAATTTAGAATACAAAATGAAAATTTTGAAATACCAAGAGTAACTTTTTTTTTTGTTCAAAATATAAGCTTGCATAAAACCAGAGAAAACAACAAAGCAAAACACAAGACATGGGAAATGAGAAACAGAAAGCAAAAAAGGTAAAGAAATCCATCGAACTAACCACAGGGCAGAGTAGGTTTTATTTATTTATTTATTTGAATAAACGACATTATTATACTAAAGAAAAGAGGGTAGGTTAAGTCTCATCAACAAATTAGCAATAATTTTCATTTACAAATAAAAAAAAATACCATTATACCATAGTTTTTTAGATTTCTCAACTTACGAATGTGAGTTTAAATAACGCAGCTGCAGTTGTTGAAGTTGTACCACCACCACAGATTTTTGTTGCCATAAACCAAAAAGTTGATGCCTGCCTAAGCCCACACCAGTACCAACCCCCCCTCCTCCTTTTTCTTTTTCTAGACAATTTCTTTCTTCATGCCTTGGCAACCTAATTTTACTTTTCCATTCACCTAAAATAATAAAATTAATAACAGCAATAATTACTACATTTCACTTTTGCCCATATTTCAAGCAAAATATATGCTTAAGAAAAGAAATAATAAAAATAAAATAATATTATCCACACATATTTTTTAATTTATTTTATCTGACACTCGACAATTCGTACCCTTACCCTTTTTTTAATATATTATGTCTTACCGGATTCCAACCAAAACAAGAGATTTATATTTTAACATAAAAATGCTAATATAAATAACATGCTCAAAATGTCCATTTAATTTAATATTTTTTGCCCTTTATTTGTTTTTCATTTCTTTTTTTTTAATCGCAATTCGGACAGTCTTAGGAAAGTTAGGCACCCAATAAACTGTAAAACAAAATACAAAGCTTTTCTTACTATTATCTCAACAATTTTCCATTCAAATTACAAAACCAGAAAATCTAAGAGCCCAAAAGATCAAATCCAAATTTTTTTTTCCTATGAGCTCTGTTTTTCCGGCTAACTTTGCTTTTAAATAAAATAGATTTGAGTAAAACTAAACCTTCACAAGCATTTGCAGCTAATTGTTTTTTTTTTTCCCTGTAATTTTAATTTTTTCTGTGTTAAAAGCTCAGGAAGGAAGCTTCACAGTCTGTTGTTTTTGTTTTAATTTTTTTCTCCATCTGGGTTTTCTTTTCCGCGTATAATTTCTGGTTGTGTTTTCAAATTTCGAATGAGTGGGCAATTTTAAATTAGTAAAGTAAAAATGGGTTTTTGTTAAAAAGCTCAAAAGATACAATTTTGGGGGGTTTAAGTGTTAACTATGGAGGGTAGGGAAGGTGGTGTGAATAGTAGTGGGGTTACAGTTGTGGGATCAGATGCTCCATCAGACTACCATGTCGCTCCAAGGTCAGAAAACCCGACCCACAACGCTGGATCAACACCTCAGGCGCCGGTTGCGCCGCCACAGGCGGCGTCTCTGCCGGCGGCAGGGTTTATGCCGATGAAGAAGAAGAGAGGGAGGCCAAGGAAGTACGGACCGGACGGGAGTGTCACCATGGCTCTGTCACCGAAGCCCATATCGTCCTCTGCGCCGCCGCCGGTGATCGATTTCTCGGCGGAGAAGCGTGGGAAAGTGAAGCCACCCAGCTCAGGGAGCAAGACCAAGTACGAGGTGGAGAATTTAGGTAATGAAAGAACAAATTTTTGGTCGTACCCTTTTGAGTTTGAGTGATTTTATGCTTGTTTTTGAGCTAAAGTCGAAATTTTTAAGGTTGGTTTTGTGTGGTTTCTGTGTTGGGATTGGGTGAGATATACTCTAATTAGAGGGTATAGATTTGGGGTTTATGGGATGCTTGTTGGGTGGATGTGGGACCTCTGATTGGATGCCCTTCTTACTTGAAGGATCTTGGTTTGTGTGTGGGTAGTGGTTCTGAAAGATGAGTGTTTTTGTGGGTTGGTGGTATGGGAATGAAGGAATCTTCTTGTTCGGGCTGTCCTTTGGGGGGCACCTCTCTCTCACCTTTTTGAGGAAGAAAATGATGTCAGGTGCCAATTTATGTACATGCTAAAGTCTGCAAGTGATGGCGAACAGACTTGGACCTGAAATCTGTCTTCAACTTGCTGACAGATCTAAATAGTAAACAATAACAACCTCATCCTTTTATTTATGTCTTGTCCATGTTGAAGATCTGATTCTGGTTTTATGTTGTTTCATAGGTTTCTCAGAATGTAATAATCCTAGTCAGTTACCAATGTTCTTTGGTGTTTGAGTACATCTAGATTGTGGTCAGTCAGCTTTCATAGTATTCTTCGAATGATTCTCTACAACATGAATGGTGGAACATCTGTTGTCATAGATACTTGCCTGTGTTGGATTCGAGTTTGTCATCTGCTGGCTGCTTGAATGTCTGCATGAAAATTTTGAAATCCCATCTACCAATCACCCTGCAGAAATGTGTCGTTTGGAATTTGAGTAATTTTTGGCTGTTAATTTTGACGAGATAATTATTTAGTTTTTTTGTTTGCATGAAGATTTTTTATTGTATTTTTTAGATTAATTTGGGACAGACATTTAACATTTTGGGACTACTTCCAGTCTTTCAGTGATTTAATTTCATCAATGCATCATAACTCTATCCTTACTTTTTCTTTATCCTTTTGGATAATGTACTAATTGTTCGGCTATATGAACAGTTATTCTAGATTATACAAAAGATAGATTGAAGTGAACGTCGGAAATGTTGATTTAGCATAATGGTGTACTTAAACTTAGTTTTATAAATAATTAGCTTAGCATTACTGGAATAACCAGGAATAATTCGAATCCTTCTGACCAAGAGTTTTCAATTACCTAACTGTAAGCATTACTAATATTCTATTTACATTGTTGATCAGGTATGTGTAGTAGTTATCTGACACAAGTAAAGATGGTAAATTATAGATTATAAGGGAATCAAGTGATAGTTAATTACAGGAGTGCATATGATTTCTCTCTGATGTGAATGGCAATGCTTGGAAATGATGCCTAAAATCATCTGTTGGTCTGTGTTTGTATCTGTAATTTGTGAAGTCTAAAGATGACAACTTCTGGATGTTAACAAATTTATGCAACCACGGCTCTGGAAGCTTGGAAAATCATACTGGAATAAGCTACTCCTCCCTTGTAAATGGTTGCTGTGAGCTTTAATCATAGTATAACACCAACAAGCCGCAGAGGGAAGTTTTTGGATGATGATTACTGCATTAATGTGATAGTGCTATTTTTTGTAGTTGTCTTGGTCTTACATAAAACAAGCGTGTCAGCATAATAAGAAAGTTTTCCTGATATGTTTTGTGGTTGTTGGTGTCGGTTTTCACTGAGATATGCAGTTGCCTGAAGTCATCAACACTTGTTTTTTCATGGTACAAACTGAAGATAAATGTGTACCTTTTGTTATGTTTTATTTGTTTATTTATTTATGAAGCCCATGAATTTATTATGGCTCTTGAAATGATCTACATTACTCTGCCTTTGATTTATGGAACAAGTACCTTGATGTGAAGTGCATGAGTAAAAAAATCTTTGGCAAAGTTGAGAGCTCTTTGTGAGGTGGCTAATCCTGTTAATGTTCTATTTTTTCAGGTGAATGGGTTGCATGCTCGGTTGGTGCTAATTTTACACCCCATATTATCACTGTTAATTCGGGAGAGGTAAGTAACTCTAATAATTATGTTTGTCATATCCTACATTGCTAAAACCTTCATGATGTCAATGGTTGGTCTAAATGAAAATATTACAAAAGTTAGATCGCTGGAGATGGCCAATTGTGAGTACTAGATTGGTAGATATTATTTACTTCAATCAGTAATTGGTGGCCTGTTTTACACTTTCAGATCATTTAGTAACTTCGGTAGGAGTTTTGGTTTATAACTTCAATGAGTACTTTAAGAACTTAAGTTGACTTTTCCCCTAACAACTGTGGTTGTCTTAGGATGTCATGATGAAGATTATATCATTTTCTCAACAAGGTCCTCGAGCAATATGCGTGCTCTCTGCCAATGGTGTTATTTCAAGTGTGACTCTTCGTCAGCCTGATTCTTCTGGCGGTACATTGACATACGAGGTGATGCATTTTAACCTTTTTATGATAATATCACTGTTTCGTTTGGATCAGTAATGTGTGGCATTTTAGAAGTATTCTGGAATGGATAATTCTATTAACAATGATTTGTTTAGTATCTGAATTTTTTCCCCATAACTTTCTGCTACGTCGTATGCATAAATGTAATTAGTTTTTGGAGTTGATTTTTTTCTGTTACTGATTGTATTAAGTGGCATACTCATTCTCTGATTCCGCCTTACTCATAATGAGTATTGTTTGAGACTTCAAAGTTGGTGGCTTTTTTGTTATTGGTAATGCTTCCTCACAGAGCATGCAAAGGAAATAACCACTAAAGACTATATTCAGTTTTTATGTCTCCTTTTAAGACGGGAGCTTTTTGTTGTTAGCCCATCTGTTTTCATTTATTTTTCATGTCATACTGTGAACAATGAGGCGTATTTTCTTAGTCCGTGTGTAGTTAAAGCCCTATCTTGAGGTAACTGTTATTTTTTTTTTCTTTTCTTTTTTACCTTGGGGGCCAAGTGATTTTCTACACTTCTGATAATATTGATTGAAGAAAATTTTAGCATCTGTGTTGCTGACAAAAGTTATACTAAATGAAGATGAATGCTTATGTCTTTATTCAGAAGTTTGGTATCGGAAAAGTTAGTTTGGAAGAATTGTGCCTTTCCACCATTGTTGTCAAACTCATTACTCTCTCAATCACATAAATTTCAACTTTTTCCTCTTATGCAGCCTTGATTTCTGATAATTTGATTTAGTGATTGTTTTTCATTGAACTTTCCCAAACCACAGGCTGGGTTCGTTTTTACTTATCTTTTGTATTATTAAATGTTCTTTTGCTAACCACGGGTGGGTTCTCTTGTCTTTGCATTCTTGTTCTTGCAGGGCCGTTTCGAGATATTGTCTTTATCGGGTTCATTTATGCCCAATGAAACAGGAGGGACAAGAAGCAGATCAGGTGGGATGAGCGTTTCTTTAGCAAGTCCAGATGGGCGTGTTGTAGGTGGTGGAGTTGGTGGTCTGTTAGTAGCTGCAAGTCCAGTGCAGGTATGGCTTATTTTATTTCCAAATGTCTACCTGCGTCCTTGCTCAATTTCACAAGAAACAAAAAAGGCAGGATGGTTACGGGCTGCTTTTTAACGACAACGAAGCATGATCTGAGATTTCTTCCTTGCTTTAAATCAGGTTGTAGTAGGCAGTTTTCTATCAGGAAACCAGCATGAACAGAAGCCTAAGAAACAGAAACATGACTACATAGCTAATGCAACACCAACTATGGCTGTTCCTATTTCAAGTGCCGACCCAAAACCAAACTTCTCATCCTCGACTTCCTTCCGTGGAGATAATTGGTCGTCATTGGCATCAGATCCAAAAAACAAGACTGACATTAATGTATCTTTGCCGGGAGGTGTAATGTGAAGAGTAAGTGCTTCTAGTTGCAATATGAGGTTTCTCACTGACCACATTGGCAATTAAGCTCCCCTATTCCCAACTGTTGGATCTCACTTGTCCTTGGTTGTTGTCTGTAAACTTGTTGACTACTAGTATCGTCGCAGGGTTCAACCCCATTTGAGGTGTTCTTTAATTTAGCCGCGTAGGAAGGCTTCTAGTGCTGCTTCGGCAGCCTGTTGTGACATCTAGATTAGTTTGATCATGTAATACTAGCGACCGAATCTGCCTTTCCTTGGATTGATGTAATGTGATTTGAAGTTGTTTGAGACGTTTTCACTCATCTTTCTCGATGGTTTGATTCTGTTGGTTCAACTCCGTAAACTTCAGCTTTTGTTCCCTTGATTTAGTTTGATGAAGGCTGAAGGCAGGAATTAGGTAGTCTGTGGGGATGTACAATCTTGGAAAATGATGAAATTTCCGGGGGTTTCCGGTTTGCTTTGGATTTGTTGTTTTGAGTACTTTTGCAGAGGGGGGGGGGGGGTGTTGTAGATACATTCCTAATGAAAGTTGAACGTAGATGGACCTTATCTCCGACTTTCTCAGTCTTTCTTATTACCGGTTGTATACAGTATGTTTGTTTCTCTTATTAAGTGCTTGTATGTCTCTTCACCGCTGAAAGAGAGAAATAAACAGAGGGGGAAGAAGATTTTGATTTTCCCTATTAACTTTTGATGTTTACACTATAAGCTACATTTAGTAGTTCTCATGCGTGCGGGCGACTGGTTTGGAGGGGACATGAAGTCAAACTCTAACAAGTAGACAATTATCGGAAACAAACATCAATTAAGACAACTACAAAGAGAAACAAAAATTGGAAGTATTGAAGATTATGACTAAAAGCTGCAACTACATGGCAAATCACCATCATAGTTTGCCAAGCAATCGGCCACCTGATTTCCTTCGTGATTAATGTGAGAAATCCGAACATGCAAGGAGAGAGAATGGTATAACAATTTGCCCAATCAACTGACAAATGCCAAGGCACATGAGAAGATCCATTAAAAAAAAAAATGTACTGCCAAATAAAAATCACACTCAATCTAAAGAGAATGCCAACCCATCGCCAAAGCCATATGAAGAGCATGAATAATAGCTTCAAGATCGCCTCCAAGGTAGTAGCAATGCCAAAAGATATTACAAAGCATTCAAGACAATGACCCAAAGTGGTCATGGAAATTACCACCAAAACCAGCCATGCTCGGAGAACCATGAGTCGCATCGTCAGTGTTAACTTGAACTTGAAAAGCACAAGGAGAAATCCAAAGAAACTCATGAATTCTAAAACTTGCGAGCGAATGCCACTAGCACTAATCAACTGTAAACATTTTCCCTTCCAAACGGATTAAATTTCGAGCTTGCCAAAGTGAGTAAAAACCTGTCCCAATCATACCCCACCATAATAACTGAAGTTGAGTACCGAAACCACGCTACACAGGACGTTGACTGTGATGTCGGAGAAAAAAACACTGATTTTGGAGTTTTAGATTTCATGTCTCTTTCACTTGTAATCACAACCGGCAACTCCAACTCAACTCAAGTCAGCTGTCGTCAACATCAACAACTCATTAGTCGGATTTATAAAGAGAAAATGAGTGCACGGGTAGATCTAAATTATGGAAAACTTCGAAATATAAAAAATTGTCTTTGCCCGACTGGATTTTTTTCCACCCGAACAGTTTCAGGGCCTGGTGGCGTGGCGTGGGGTTGCGATAGGAAGCAGTGGTGTGAACAATTGCGAGAAAGGTAGGGAAAAAAAAGGCCTTTGTTGCTTATATTGTTGTAGAAATATGTTTTTACTTGATAATGAAACCATAATGCAACGTTTGATGATATGAAAACTAGTCGCGGATAATTATAGCTTGTAAGTTGCTACATTGTTTTATTTTTATCAAAATTTTAAGGACATTAGGCGCTAGTCGTGCGGTGAGCTGGGAGGACACCAAAACGGATCTAGACCCAGTTTCTTAATTTTCAAACGCCTAGGACTATGGGACTATAACCAACTGGACTAACTTAGTGAAGTGTTTGGTGCAGTATTGGACTAAGAAGCTGGATAATAACAAATTCTAATATTATATTATTTAATATATAAATTATTAATATTTTATTATGATCTTATCTTTTTCTTCATCTTTTCCTACCATTTCCGTCCCACTCTTTTCCTCTTCTCTCATCGTCCCACCCTCTCCCTCTTTTTTTCCTCTTAGACCTCTCAATTCATGTCTCTTTCTCATTCCTGGTCAAACTCCTTATTGATTCCAGTGTCTATTTCTCTGTCCTCCCTCCCTCTTTAGCTATGTGTTGTTCGAATGGAACCTCACGGCTCCAATTTCCGACGAGTTGCAGGTTTCCCGATGTGTTTTCCAGCCAACCCTCGTTAAATTGGATGAAGTTAGCACCGCCAAAAAATTCATCACCATCCCTAGACCGAGATCTTAGCTTTGAATGCTCGAATCTATCATGGATTTGAAGAAGCCCAAACAGGCCGAGACTTCTAAGCCATTTGGGGACTATAACCAGCCTTTTAGTGCCTAGGCGAGGCCTAAGTGGCGCTAGGCGGAGATTTTAAAAACAGTGATTTTTATTTAATGATTGGTAATAATGTTGTCAATCTAAATAAACTTTAAAGGGTAAATTACATTTTACCCCCTTAGGTTTAGCATTTAGGTGCAATTGCAATATCTTACATCATCTTTAAAACATTTCACTTTCATACATTAAATATGATTTTCATTTCATTTTAATACAACCGTTAGTAGTCAATCCGTTAAATTAACTGTTAAATAATGACGTGACATATATAAAATCTACATTTTTAATGACGAGGGATGCCATGTGTATAACACAAAAAAAATTTCATGTAATAAGTACCAATTTAAATATAAAGCTAATACAAAACTAAACTAAAAAAAGCACAAGCAGGGTCCACATCTTCTTTTAAATGTCTTTTGAGTCTATACTCCCCATCTTCTCCAGCAACCTGCTCCAACGAAAAAAATTATGCAGAATCTTCATATCGGCCCCAAATTGCACTACTTAATCGAGTAAAAACCAAATAGCAATCCAAATAGATTGTGGAGACGCTGGGTCTGGGGAATTTAGGATTTGAACAAATCTCACTCCCAAATTTACCTCGAGATTTAGGAGTTGCAAGCAGCGGGCGACGGGTGGGGGAAACGTCGTTGAGGTTTCTGTAGTAGCACAAGGAGGGAGGCAGAGGGATGCCGGCTTCGGCCCTGCAATATGGACCTGGGTTTGGGGGAATTTCAGATTTGGACGAATCCAACCCAACCCCTAAATTCGATCCACGTTGGAGTTGTTGATGGCATGGGAGTTCTAGGTGTTTGTGGGGGTGAGATAAGTGGCAGCAAATTTGTTGAGGAACTTGTTGAGGGAACCAAAAGAAGATGAGGAGACATGGAAGAGGTGGGAGACGTCTTTAAGAGAGCAGTGAAGGAGTCGGCGTGGGGCTTCTTCGATGGCGTGCTGCGAGGAGAGGAGTATAAACCTTTGTATGTGGAACTTAAGTATAATCAACCTAATATTTGAACTATGTGTAAGTATGAGAGATTAGAGTGATTACACTAATATAAACTCACGTAAACATGCAACACTTACTTGTTGAGTTCACCATAAAGATTAGAAAGCAAGAAACAATGTAATCACAATGGAACTAGGGCTTGCAGTAGCAGGTTTTACTACAAGAACTTGTGGTGCATGAAGGGTTGTGTTCTTCTCTTCTCTGGGACTAAAAAATGTTCTACAAGTGATGGAGATTGTATCAAAATGAACTGGCATCCGAGAAGAGAGACCATGCATCGGTTTTAATTGTGTAAGGCCATAATTGCTCCATCCATCGTGGTTGTAGTTATCCCACGTTAAGCAGAGTTTTTAGCAAACTCATTCTCTTAAGTTAAGTGGTAGTTACTTCCCTTTTAAGTGTTTTATCATGATTAAAACACAAATTACAAGTCCATAAATAATATAAGTCCATTAAATCTTCATAACACATACAATAACATGGTTTTGTTACAACTTACACCATTCGGAAAACCTTACAAGGAGGTGTTGCAGACGGGATGAGAGAATGAGATGTTGCAAATGGAGGAGCGGAGAAGCCTGAGATTGGATTTTATGCCATGTGGCATGCATTTGTCAGCCACATCAGTACAAATGTGGATCCCATATTTGCCACGTCATCAGTTAACGGTTTAATTAACAGATTTTCTAACAGATGTATGAAATTGAAATAAAATGATAAGTAAATGTACGAAATTGAAATGTTTTAAAGATGTATGAGGTTGCAATCAACCCCAAACCTGAGGGCGTAAAATGTAATTTACCCAACTTAAAAGCTTTTATCCACCCATGCACAAAATTTCATGAAACAAAAGAAAACCCAGGAGGATCCTCGCTGGATCATGGAGATCCTCTAATCACATCTATACATCGTACATCGTGCGGTTAGAAATTATTGTAATTTTTATGTTTTAAAATTGAATATAAACAGTATCTGATCGTATGATGTACGATGAACGGATGTGATTAGAGGATTCTCAGGATCCTCACAAAGATGATCCGGTGAGGATCCTCACTCAAAGAAGATGAGGTCAAAAACATATTTCTTAAGAGTAGCTCCACTGGAGTTGATAGCCCGATGGACTGGCTATCAAACAGTGACAAAACGCCCGAGCAAGAAGGTCTAGCCCAAGCTGGCGATTCAGCCTGAAGGGCCCGAGCGAGAGTCCCGTGGGAGTTGCTGGCCCAAAAGCCCGGAGTGGGTATGATGCAAGGCTGACGTCGTCAAGCGCGTGCACTTCAAGAGCGCGTGGGCGCGTGTCGTCCGACACGGTTTTAGACGTGGGGCTCGTGGCGCTTTTCTGAAATGTTATCGTTGGGGAGGCCACATGGCTTCCCCACGTCCGTTGGATTTCAACGGCAACATTTTATGGACTATTGGATTTCCAACGGTAAAAAAAAAAAAAATTATTTAATTTCAGCCGCTGGATCTGAGATCAACGGTGCATGTTATTCGGCTTTATAAATTTAAAAAAAAAAAAAAAGAAAAAACTGTTTAAAATTCTGAAATCTTACCGTTGTGCCACATGGCACAATTTGGAGTGTTGGAATTCAAATTTTTTTTAATCCAATGACAAAGATTAATTATGTGAATAAAAATTATAAATCTTATCCGAAATTACAAATAATATTATTTTGTATTATTTTATAAATAAATAAAAATACTAATATTTTATTGCCTAATTTTAGGACTATTCAGTGTAGGGGTAAAGATTCAAAAGACAATTATTGTTCATTAAGGATAGTTACTGTTCACTAGGTGAATTAAATAGTGAATAGCTCTAAGGGGCCTTTGCAACGGTGAAGTTGCTCTAGCAAGTCATCTCTTGCTTTGTAATATTTTATCATCCTGTCCACTTCAAATCATTCCCGAATACTGGTTTGATTCCTCATCCGGTTCATCCAAAAAGTAAAACAATAATAAAAAAAATAAAAATCTTAATTGAGGTCAATGTCTATTTTTTCGTTTGTCTTGGTCAACAGCCTAGAAAGTTAAACGTGTTTTGGAAACCTGAATTGCCACAAAGATTCCCAGAAGTTGCGTTGTGTTTTAAATCTAAACGTACAAGTTATCAGATACATGCATGCCCTCAACCAAGTCTTGTTTGGAATTACTTTGTAAGAAGCACTTGTTCTTCTAAGCACTTATTTTTCAAAAGCTTTCATTAAAAATACTACAATATCCAAGTGCTTAAAAGCAATTGGAAATAAAAAATTTGGCATGATATTTCTATATAAAGCACTTATTTGACTCAAAAACATTTTTAATTTATCACTTAGTACTACGGTTTAGAGGTATTCATTTTCATTTGTAAGTAAAAAGTCTTAGATTCGATTCGCCAAAGACAAATTTGAACCACATTATTGCTGTGAAAACGCTTTTTGATCATTTCTTAAGCATTCCTAAACAAACCCTATTGTTCTGCACAAGGTGGCTTCTTAAATACAACTCTGATTTACATCTAGATTGCACAATTTATTAAAACGTGTTAAACTAATGATCATGTTGACTTTAGTTCCCCAAATACACTGCAATTTCGTATACTTAATTAATTTTGTGTTTGCCCAAATTACACCAATTTTGAAAAATGGGTGAATTTGGACATGGCTTTTCTTCTTAGTAGGTTCAAAAGTTAGCTTGGAAACCCATGAGAAAGGCCGCCTGTTTCTCCGAGCAAGATAACACAGAAAAAACAGTGCTTAATTTATGCTTGAAGTTTTCATTAGTTAACAAAAACTATTAGCTAACTTTTAATGTCAAATGTGGAGTATACAAATAATATACTCCATCAAACTTTCCAGGAAAATCTGCAGACACCTCTATAAATTACATATATTCTCAGAGGAAACTTGAGAATTAAACTATCAGCATCCCATCTGTTTGTAAAGACCCGGACATGATGTTTGTTGGAGTACCAAGACCTATTTTTCTATTGCTGTTCTTAGCTTCTGCTCTTGTTCTGAGCTATTTTCTACAATCAATCTCACGACGCGATCTTCAATTCTCGTCCAATCCTCTGTTTGTGTTTTCGTTGTTTAACATCATTATCGGTGCCATCATTGTTGGAAATTACAGGCCATCTTCCGGGGAAGCTGACGATGCCATATCTTTTGTATATCATTCGTATGAACTAGAAGAAGATGGAGCTGATGACTCTGCGGATGCAAAGAGTGATAAATACTCGAGTTTGGAGGGTTGTGACCACTGTAGGGACCATGTTGATGACAACGATGATGGTGAAAGTGAAGATGATGATTTTGATTTTGAAGGCTACGAAGAAGATGACGACGACAGTGGCAGCGATGACGAGATTGATTGGGGAGACATGGATGAATATGACTGTAATTTGGAGAAACGAATCGAAGACTTCATTGATAAGGTTAACAAGGGATGGAGGGAAGAGAGGTTAAGGGATGGTCACTCCTATCCTTTACAGCTAACCTACCTGTGAAGTATTTACAAAGCTCAAGAAAATAATAATTTATTTTTACTATAATTTTCCTTTGTCTCTCTTGTTCTCTGCCATAGAATGCATAACTTTAATTGATACCTGCAATGCTGAAATGCACAGATGCTGAAATGCGCGATAACTGTCGCCTCGCCTGTGTGAGAAAAATTGATACAGCATCCTTTTGAACAAATAGTTATTTCCAAAAGTCTTAATGTCTAGTGTTCCTTCAAAGATCAAAGGGAAGCAAATTTTATGCAACAGTTACGACTGTGCAGTAGTTCTATACTACATACAAGTGAACTTCAGAAATATTTTGAATATTATAGCTGCAATCAACCAATTTGCCAACCAAAGCAATAGTTGTACTAACCAAGACCTGATCCGGTGTCCTTGAGAGGTGCGTCAGCCTTGATACGAGGTGGCCTAACAACACAATCAATGAGCCCATATTCAAGAGCTTCCTGTGCATTAAAGCGCTTCATCCGACTTAAGTCTTTGTTAATCTGAATATACACAGTTCAGAATGATCATTCACTGAAACACATAAGCAACGATGCTTCATGCACGGGGCCATAAATCCACTTAACCCAAAAGTGATAGGATTACTAGTCAAACTAGCTAACCTTTTCAACTGACTGTCCTGTTTTCTTAGCCAACTCATTAAACAGGTAATCCCTGATTCTGAGAAGTTCATTTGCTTCATTTTGTATGTCATCGGCCTGCCGCAAGATTTTGTAAAGACTCGTGAACACAAGGACCAAAAATCTAAGAACTTTAAAGGCATCTATAGAAGCCATTTTAAGCATTGACAGGAAGCAGCGATACCTGGCCACGAGCAGCCCCGGCAGGAGACTGTAGTGCAATTCTTGATAGTGGCATTGCAAATCGGTTCCCCTAAGAAAAGCAAAAATTACAAAAAAGGTGGAATTTCAGAGTTCAGTCATCTAATAAATAGATGACAGCAGTAACATTTTTAAGCAGTACAAGAAGATAATCCATCAAATCATCAATGCATGGCGGTGCTAAACAGCATGAGTTAAACGATGTGGTCAGATAGCAATATAAGAGACAGAGAAGTCCTCTGGTCAAACTCCTAACTACATATCTAATTCCCCCACACATTATACCGCATAATCATAGCTGTACTAACTATTGCACTTCTAAGGCTAAGAAGAGGAAAAATGAAAATTTATGTCGACCCTCTTCATGATGAGCATTAGTATCTAGTACCAAGGACTTCATCAACCTGGACTAAAAAAAGAAAGAAGTATTACCTTCTCTCCAGCGGCAAGAAGAAAGGCTGCCAAGTTATAGGCATAGCCCACACAATGGGTGCCGACAGGACTTTTTAGGCTCTGCATCGTATCATATATAGCCATGCTTGGAGTAAGCTGAAAATAGCGCAAGTTTTAGATATGGAGCATGGAAAAACAATAATAGAAAGAAGTAAAAGATTAATAATGAAGATAGCTCACATCTCCACCAGGACCGTTGATATACATATAAAGCCTTTTGGAAGAATCAATAGTGTCGAGGTACAACATTGTTGCCAAAATTTGATTGCTAAACTCTTCATCTATATTCTGCCCAATGAAGATAACCCGTTCTCGATACTACATTCCAATAAAAAAGAAGCTTTCTTAGAAAAGCAACAAAATGAGATTTCAGTAAACTCAAGAAGTTGAAATCCAAACAGAATTCTCAACTTCAGATGGCATTTAATGTATTCTTTTTATCTAGCTATCAAGATAAGTTCACAGAAGATTTGGAATTATCAATAGAAACAAAGTAGAAGTTCACGGTACCATTTGAAATATTTGGGTGGGAACAAACAAACTGAAAGCCTTCATCATCTAAATACAAATATGGTAAAATAATCTACTTGAGTGGGATACAAGCCTCTTAATTGGTGATACACGAAACAAAGGGTCATTCCTAGATGTGTTCCGTTCCTCAGTTAATGACCTGTCCTATAACATTCTATGTCAACTGTCTGCTCTTTTCATATGGAATCAACTGTAACCACTTACTAGAGCATTCCACAAATCAACCCATTGCCAAGTTCCCTCACCAGGAGTTCTATAGGGCACCTTTGGCGTCCCTATAGGCATCATTCCAATTTGTGCCCGAGATGGTCTATGGTGTCGTGTCCTGAAAAGTGCAAACATTGAGATACATCATCCGTGCTTTTCACAGATTGATTTAGAAATTCAAGCAACTCTCAGATTTAATAAAATAAAATAAAAGAAGTTATTATTCTTTTTATTTCAAGAGAACCGAAAAATTGAGGTTCCTTAGGGAATTCATGATAACACTTATAAAGGGATATTTTGGGGCACACTAATCTATTGAAAAACGATATTCTAAACTACTCTAATTACGGGAAGGGGGATTCGAACTTGGGTGCACCTGGCATACACGGATTTGGCCAAGTCGCATAATCCACATCTGCAAACCCTACTATAATGCTCTACAAAAATTCAAGTGGCCACCACCCATGTATCGAATTTACACTAATTTTCGGCACAGAACCAGAAAACTGCAGAAGAATTAAGCAAATGAACACAGCCCATCTTTTAGTTACCTGGACTGAAGGCTCTTATTAACTTTGCCGTAGAACTCAACCGTCAAGTTTGGGTTTTTAGCTCCAAAAGTACCTTAATTTTGTCAAAAAAGAAAAAATGATTACATAGCAGAAAAAGAAGACCGAAATTAGCTCCCGAGAAGGATGGAGGCAACGAATACCCAAAGACTGCAGCTTTAATCCTGAATAATGCTTTGTTGAGCAACTGCGGAAGGATAAATGGATAATTACAATTAGAAACACTAATCTTTTTAATTTTTTGGATTAGAAAACGGATTAAAAGAGAGATGAACAAAAAACCCATGAGAAAGATTACCTGGGAGGAGGAAGAGAGAGCCTAGCTTGGCGATGGAGGCCTGGAGAAGAAGTGGTTGGGTGAAAAGAGACTGCCATTTTCACCAACTGAGAGAGAGTTTTGGGAGGTTGGGAAAGGAGGAAGAAGGAGAAGGGAATAGACTGAGGCGGGAGGGATCCGCTAGAGCCGGCACTAGTTTGTTTCCAAACCGTCGTTTGTTTGACGGGTCGGGTGATTGGTTTTGTCATCATCATATAAGATCCGACCCTGATTCAAGTTTGAAACGTCACAACAAAAAGCTCGACCAACGGTGTACTCAATTAGTCAGGAGTTCGTCAGATCCTCTTTGTGGATTTTGCCATCATTCAATCATATTTATTTATCGTATATTGGTCAGAAATTATTATAAATTTTTTATTGAAAATTGAATATAACAGTATCGAATAAAAATTGACCACACAATATACAATAAACCGATGTAATTTGAGGATCTCCAAAATCCTTACAAAGAGAGGATCGAGTGAGGATCCTCTTTCCTCAATTAGAAGTTTAAATGACTTTAAAAGAGTTTACAAATGTATTTAATCAAGATTTAAAATAAAATAATAAAAATTTGAAGAAATTCGATTGTATTCATTTGAAAATTTAAAGTTTTTTATAAATTTTTGGGAATTGAATTAAGATTTTTAAAAAATTTATAGGGATGACACCCCTTGAAGACTTGAGCTGCTAACTACAACTTCCCCAAACTCCGTTGCCGAGAAAAGTCAAGGGTATTAAAGATAGGATTAATAACTAATCTCTATCTTTAAGCTTTTCTAATTGAAGATCAACTCAATCAAGTAAGAGATCACAATCATCTCCAATAAAAAATACTACGAGATAAATCCTAAGATATATATTTAATTAATAATGTCTTCGGGATAATTTTTTCCTCCATCTTACGGATGAACATTGTGCCCAACTGGATGACAACACATGACATGGAAAACCTACATATGTGGTTGGCCCTATGCTCCTATAAATACTCTAATCTACAATAAGTTCTGGTAAGTTTTTGCACACAATTAAGACCTAAGCTCTTTCTTTCATTTTTTTCTTCAGAAAACTAATATAGGCATAAAAAATTCATTGGCTAACCCTCCCCAATACTCCTTGGGCGCCTACCTTTTGGTCTTTGATCAAAGTTGTTTAATTGCTTTGTGATTCGTTAAGACAACAAATTTTTGCTAACACAAATTGGTGCTTTCATTGAAAGTTAAACTCAAATCTCGAAGAAGCCCTCGCAATTCCTTTCAGAATTTTCCCCCTCTTTGAATTTTTCTAGATGCTCCCAATCTTCAAATTTTAATTCCTTGTTTGTGTGCCCTAGGGAAAGGAGACATGGTTGAAAATTCTGAAACTACGACGAACGGTACACTTTATGTACCTTGACATAGACCGGAGAAATGAGAACATGATGTAGCCCTACGCCACCACTTCTCGAGGCTGAGCACAATGACTGGATGACCTTTGTCGTCGCCATAAAGCACCATTGCAGCTTAGTAGACCACTACAAGCAACCTAAGCTAGGAGGCCATCGTTGCATACTAGAGCTAGGACCTAGTGGCTTGAGCCCAAGGCGTGCAAGCCTATAGAGCTGCCCCAACAATTGCCTTTGAAGCCAAACACCCCCAACCATTACTGACCCAACCATCAGATCCAATTCAACAAGCCTAGGCCTCCGCGTGGCAAGCCCAGCGCCACCTACCTGACCCATTCCAGCGACTCGGCAGCAACTTCTGACCAATTCAGTCCAACCGACTGCCGTTTTTCTTCCTGAATTTGGCTTAGACTAGACCGACTGGCCTAACTATTAAATTGACAACTGAACCAGGGGTTTTCTCACCCTATTTTTCGGCTGATTTGATTCGTCCAGGCTTAAATTTCGAACCCGTTGCACTTACAGTTTCATCACTCATATAGATACCTATCAACCAAGCTCGTCCACCCTGAATAGTGATCCATACCTATCTTGGTAGGTCATAGACTTGATGAATGTTGTCACACAGCAGACAACTGTTGGAAATTTTGAGTAAACATTTCATTGTCCGACATTGGTCAGCAACCAATAAAAGGTTCTTTCACTTTTCATTGTCTGACATTGGTCAGCAACTGTTGGAAATT